TGTATCATTGATACTCTTCTAACAAATCTACAATTAGATGGAATCGACCAACACACCAAATGATGAGTACACAGGGGCTGGGGACGGTGAACTGACATTTGAAAATGTTTCCCAGAGATTAAGGATATTCTTTTTTAAAATTTCAATTTCAGCATTATTTGATATATTTATGTTAGGATATATTCTTAAAGTGGGGAAGATAGAAAATCTACATACAGGTAAGTCTTAACTAATTAAAATTTACAGTTAATTTTGACAATAGGGAAACACAAATTTTGAACTACGGTTTGACTTAACCTATTAAGGAAAATGATTTCATCATGCTAGTTGGTTCTTTATCATTAAAATTCTCGTTAAAAGAATTGGGTTTTATGATTATTTATAACAGAAATTATTTAATATGATTTAAAGTAAGTGATTAAAAACATAGTGTAAATTTATTAATGTTCATTGTTTGCTTTGTTTTTATATAGAACCACAATTAAGACAAAAATACCTCTGAATTTCTCTCACATCCAAAAGATTTTGCCGATTCCCTCGTTATAAGTTAATTTTCGACATTTAGTTTTGTTCGGTAAAAACCAAAATGAGGCAGAAATGGAAAAATTGAACAATTAGCTTCCAGTACCAGCTCAAATGATTCTCACCTGAAACATGAAATTTGTGAACCGAGTTCAAATCCCAGCTCAAACAGTCTACATTCGCTTTGGAAAATATGTATCTTCGTCATTTCTCCTTCCCTCCCAGCTAAAGACTGGGACTCGCTAAACTTGGGTGGTAACCAATTTAAGAGAAGGATAACAAAATATCGAAAATATCGAAAGTTGTGCTGAAGGCAATACGAAAACACTCCATCATCTTTCCCAAAGACAAATGTGGCAATTCATAGTTTCCAGATATTAAAGTAAAGTAAATTACGTCTTACCAGTTTTTGGATATTTCAAAGATGATTTAAAGATGTAATTTGTAGTAGACAAATTTGACCCCTTTTTTTATCCACGACAATAAGCATCATTTGAAATCGTCAGTGTGATGATGCTACAAGAGCGTAAGGGTATCTTTTATGAAAACAAAAAAAAAAAAAATTGAAAAGGTCCAAACTTAAAATACGCTCATTTTTGTATAATTAGATATTTTTGAAAATTGTAGTTTAACTTCTGAAAACATTTTGTATTAGAATATTATGTCATTGTTATACGGATCATTTTAATGATTTCAAAAAAAAAAAAAAAAAAAAAACAATCAAAAAGAGCCTATGCTGATTTTTAGAATAAGCTCGACAAAATGAAGTTCAAAATAGTTACATACCGACTTAGACAGAAAGTAGGGGTCTGATCAATCAGCTTGTATGAAATTCTGTAATTCATGATTTTTTATATTAAAAATTCGGACTTTTGAATTCCACACAACAATAAAATAAAGAAAACATAGGTATACCTGTCAAATATAATATTTGAATTTACAAACATATGTAAACGATTTACACTATTTACATTGTTCAAACTGTTGTCCTCCTCTTTATTGCCACACTCACGATGTTTCGGCTCTTGTACGCTCCGGTCTTCTTCAGGTGATATTTGTTGGAATTTCGAACCGAAGCCATTGGTCGATTGATCCCAAAAGTGATTTTGATCCAAAGAGTTCAATCCCTGGAGAACATAGAGAACAGAAACTTGGAGAGTTGAGTTATCAAGAGGAATTAACTAAAACTGAGATATCCAGAGGTATGACACGTGGAATTAGAACAATCTAATCATGTGGACTAAATAAAGGGTTCGGTTCAAGATTCCAACAAATATCACCTGAAAATGGCAGGAGCGTACAGCGGCCGAAACGTCGTGAATGTGGCAATAAATATGAGGAAAACACGCCGAACAATGTCAATAGTGTAAATGGTTACAATACCTCATCTCAGAAATAGAGATAGATATGTAAACGAATTGAAAAGAGTCAATAAAGAGTAAAAATAATCTTTAGATGAGTCGAAGCGTTTGGGTAGTTGGTCCACAGAAAAAAACATTTGTTTTTGAAAAAAAACTTTTAGTAGCTGGTCAACAGTAAAAAAAAAAAAAACTTTTAGTAGATGGTCAAGAGTAAAATAAAATAAACTTTTAGTAGATGGTCAACAGTAAAAAAAAATAAAATTTTAGTAGCTGGTCAACAGTAAAAAATACTGTAGTTGAGAAATGACTTTTGAGTAATGGATCCACAATCTAAGCTGTGGTTGAGAAAATAATTTTTGTAGTTGGTCCACAGTCAAAGCTATGACTGAGAAAAGAGTTTGATAGTCAGCGAAGATTCACTGACCGTTCCTACTGTTGTTGGTGGTGATGATTCATTTGAAGTCAACGACACACGTTTCTTTCAGCACGGGGTAAAGAAAAAGCTATGTAGCCGCGTTTTCTCTTGTGTTTAGACAGCTTGGAGACAGTCGCGTCTCTGCTTCTGAAAGTTGAAATCTGTTGTTTTTTTTTTACAAGATTTTTCCCGAAAGTAGGGCCCGAGAAAAATAAGATGTTAGATTTCTCTAATTTGTCAAATATTTCACATAGTTTCTAACCAATAGACACTTTGATTTAAACGGTGTGTGTTGTATTGTGGAATCGTTTTTGTATGTTTGTAAATATTATCTGTTATTGGGTAAAAAATAAAGTTCGAGAATGTTTTTATATGGTATGTATGTAGGTATGTAATTGTGTTGCAAATAGCGTTTCTTTTCTATAAACTTCCTATTATCAAAGAATTGATAGATTTAACGATGAATCAGTTTTAGATTAGGTTTAATTTATTTTCTACTATTTCAATCTGACCCCTCGCCATTTTTATTTCACTTGCATTTGATTGGAATTAAATTCTTCATCTTTTTTTCTCCATTTATTCCCTAGGGGAACATATTTGAAGACGTTTTTTAATACCAGACAAGCATTAATTTTGATTATGTTATTTTTATCAATAAAGACTAAAATGCATTCGCTTAAGCCTCGTGTTAGAATACAATTAATGACTCATCAATTTATACTGATTAACGTCAAATTTTGCAGCCATGTCTGGACACTAAAAGGTTAAATATCTCCAGACACCTCTATTTTACCGATTCCTAATATCTGAAAAATTTTGTTAATTTTGTGCCTCATCAGCTTTCTTTAAAATCAGTAAATCTAATAATTTTCACCAATTTAGTTTGTATCAGAAAAATTAAAAACCATGTAGACCATGGAAAGTGACAAATTGGTAAGAAAAAACTTGAAACACCGCTTTTGAGAGAGAAATTTTAAAACACTACTTTTTTTTTTATTAAGATTTCAATTTACAATGACAATCTAATGACCGTCACGCGTTCCGTTTAATCAGATATTCGAAGCCCCAAGAACTCTCCCGCTCTTTCTATTATTAACGGTTTAAAGAATTGATAGGTTTTAAATCGGCAAGGGAACAGTTGTAGATTATGCGGAATTCAGTTATTTTCAAGAAAATAAATAACAACATTTTATTTGCATGCGATTAGAACAAACGTATTATTAAATTTTTCAAATTCGGAAATATTTCCAAAGACGTTTGTTTTACGGATTTGTTACATAGACTCGTGAAATTTCTGTTGGTTTGCGTCACGAGAAAAACATTTATAAAGATTTTTTTTTAACTCTATTTTAATGCTAGGATTTCTGTATGTTTCTGCAAAGTTGGTGTTAATGCAATATTGTTAAAATGCTCTAATATCGAAAATAAAAGAGTTGCACTTTTTAGAACACAGTTCAGCCGTGTCGCTGGTTTTTGAGAAGTTTATAATTAAGTATAAGTTGACAAAAACAAATTTCCGTTCAAGGGAGATAACTCCACGCCTGTTACAAAATCGTTTTCTGGTATTTTCGTAATGAGTAAATAAAAATAAGCATCAGCGAATCCTTGATCTGTTACAAATTCTCCCTCAACCATAATGGCACTGATAATAATTACAAAAATAAATAAGGTTAGTGATAATCAGATTGATTGATTGATTAGTTTTCTATGGCTTATCAACCCTTTTCAGGTTATTTAAAGCCAGAAAATAGTTTTAGATTGTAAGATTTTTTAAGATGATAAGGATTTAGTATTACAAGTCTTACTAATTAAGTCTTATCTGGGGTGGGGTGGGAGAAATGTGAATTCATACTTTAGTAACACTCATTTCAATTTCAAACATTTTCTGAATTTCATTGGTTGTTAAATAAAAAATAAGCTTCGAGAAATTTCCATAACAAAACAGTCAAAATTTGTGCAAAAATAGGCTCAACCGACGTAAAAAAATCTTTCTCGAATTCATTCCTAATTTAAATGTTTCAAGAAATTCTATTGGCTAAAAAATAAAAAATACAACATTCGCCCACTCATTTCTCAGAAAAATTCGCAACAGCCCCATTGGAGCCGACTTCGTTGTTAAGAAAACTATAAATAGAAATAGTAAACGAATTTTCGTCGCATTTGAGACTCACACACGCGAAAGATACACATGGGAATTATGTGCCACCAAAGAAAAAACTTCCTTTATGAGAGATTAGAAAAATTTACGCAACAAACTTTTTCACTCAATATCTTTCATAAAAAATCTTTTGTCTAAGTTAAATTCAACCTTTTTAATCAAAGGCAGACAGCTTTTTAGACATTGAACATTTCCGAAACAGAAAAAAACTTTTTCTCTAAAATATACCTTTGCAGACATCATTACAAACAAGAAATTGTAAATTGTGTATATAAAATTTAATCTGTTGTTTCAAACATGTAATTTTGTCGTGATTGAATATCATTACCATTTGGTCATTTCTTATAATTTATGTTTGTGGATATTGCATATTTTATTTGCAGCACAATCTTAAATATTCACGCAACTTCTTAGATCGACTACAATATCTTTCCTAAGGTTATTTGCGCGTAAGTGAATATAACGAATTCAACTGGAATTAGAACACGGCTCTCCGATTAACAATTCCAAACCATTATCCATTACACCAACCGCACATCCAAGCTTACAGTTTCTGATATTCTCAAGCAGTCACCCATCTAGGTACTGATCAAGCTCGACGTTGCTTAACTTCGGTGATCGTACCGGAACCGGTGTTTCAACGTGATATGGCCGTAAGCTGTTAGTGATAATTATCATTTGCAAATAATTATGATATATATTGAAATAACAAGGAAGGGATTTGACATTGAGAGTCGGTCGCTGAAGATGACATTTAATCGAGTATTATATATGATTTGATCTTATAAATAATTGTGTCTGATGTTACAAGTCATCGACTGTTGAGTTTGAACCCTCTTTTCGAGGAGGACCGAAATGGTCCTTTCAAGTTCAAAGAAATCGTTCTTTCCAAATTTGTCTCCGACAGACTAATGGAAATCGACATAAGAAGATAAGAGATGAATGACTATAAAACAATTTCTACTTTGACTTGTACGTGAAGAAGGAATCTGAAGAATTGATAGGCTGGAATTGATGTTTAAATCTTATTACATCTCTGATTGAAATCATGTGACTAGATGTTGTTGCTATTATAAATTTATTTCATAAGGACCACAGTTTCCTCGTCTCGGCCAGTGAAGTCCTGGGTATGACGATAAATTACATTTGGTAGCAAGACCTCTGATCGGGAGATTGGAGGTTTTGAAAAGCGTGGAACCACCTCTTAATTGCTGTTGTTCCAAGGTACACCATGATCTAGGGTGGTAACACCTGTTAGGGTCCCAACTATGCGAAAATAGTGACCCCACCCCCGAAAAAAAAAAACACTACGAAAGTATAAAAATATATTTTTATCTAAAACAAATTACCAACAGTACTTATTTATAGTAAAATGACCAACAATATATTTTTAAAGCAAAATGACCAGAAATTAAATTTTATGACCATTTTATCTGTAGTTGGAGGCATACAATTGCGTTCAAAATATATTTAGTTGAAGCCATAAAATTGTGTTCAAAACATTTAAATTTCGGCATAATATGGGTTAACATGCCGCTAAACAAAATCAATCAACCAACTAAACAAACAGACAGCATGAAAGAACTCTTTCATGGCATTAATTGATATAATATCCTACAATTTCTTACAGGAATCAAATTATTCCAAAATATAACTTCAACAAAACTACAACATAAAACACACATGGCACCGCTCCCATTAATTATGTCCACACAAACATGTATATGCACAAAAGCAGAGTATCATCTACCATGCATTCAAATGTGAAAACAGAATAACATATATTTTTATTACTTCAAAGCTCCCAAGAAAATGACATTTTCGGCATTAAATATGCCGTTAAACAAACAAATCAAATCAAACCTTAGCCATTGTATCATTCGCTTGTATATCATAACATTTCGGTAGAGGCGAACAAAATAATTTATAAAAACAGTGGGATATAGGTTGGTGGACAATAACGAATCTGTTCAATCACTGGCACACAGACAGATAAATATTCATCATTTAAGAGGATATGCATTTCTGTATGAAAAAGTAAGAACTTGGATATTGTTCTAAACTCCGATGAATACATGACGTGACCGTTAGAGAAATGAGAAGCTTCGGCATTGTAAGGAAGAAGAATCGACAAACGTCCTGAAACTTCTCTCACATGGTCACAAGATTTTCCAAATAGAGAAAATGAGAAGCAACTATGGCATTCCCAAAAAAGAATTGAAAAATCTTAAAATTTGAACAGTTGCAACGTCATAAAGGAGAAAACTGAAGATTTGTAAAATTTCACCGTCACGTATCGTGAATGAAAACAGTTTCGGTCCCATAAGGAAGAACTGAAAATTGATCTTTAATGGGAATTTCGCCTGCAAGGCATAGTAAATGAAAACAGTTTCAGTAGCATATATAAGAACTAAAAAGTTATACAATTGGTCTTTAATGAGCACTTCAACTGCAAGGTATAATAAATGAAATCAGTTTCGGTACCAATAGCAAAAACTGGCAAGTTCTAAAATTTCTCTTCAATGGACACTTCCCAGTTATGTGAACAGCTTCGGTATTATAAGAAAGATCAAAACTTCATTTTAGCATTTATTTCATAGCAATTACTTGGCACGACATCGTTTTGTTTTTTTTTAACATGTCGGACGGTTACTCTCTGGCTTGTCTCAATTATCAGTTCTGTTCTAGAATGTTGACGAACTGTATGTCATGACTGCATGCTCATCCCTGACCGGCACGTCACATCTGGGTTTTTATGTTTTTGTGTTCCTAAAATTTTACACAAACTCCGCGCTAATCCCCCGATTTCTTTTTGTACGCAACACGCGCAACTACGTCTGTAGAGTCCTAAATGAATTGTCGGCTGCTTCTTAATTAATGACAGCCACACGCTTCTAATGTCGATACTTTGTTTATTGTGTCTTCCGAACAGATTATCAGTCACGTTCTTACAGTCTCTTCAGTCATCCCTGCTTACTCTCTCTCTTCCTCTCTCTCTTCCCCTCTCTCTCTCTCTTTCTCTCTCTCTCCCTCTCTCTTTCTCTCTCTCTCCCTCTCTCTTGTTTCGATCTTATTCTCCAAAGATTAACGTGTCCGTCTCTTCCCTCCTTGCATGTTCAACATCATAGAACGCAACAGGCAGCCGAGGAAGGTCAATAATTTGTTTCTAATTCAAATGAAAATTCAGTTTTTCTTAATTAAAAGACAATCAATTAGTATTGATTTTACTAGATAAACAGTTCAGCTTAATGTTAGAGATTAATGGTTTGTAAATTGGAAAACAAATTATATTATAAAAAAAAACAATTGTGTACGCCTAAGTGACAATTCGGAAAACAGTTTTTAACGCAAAAACTGGCGTTGAAAAATATCAATCGCTAGGATACTGAATGTGAACCTACCCTGCCAATTTGGTCACAGGTCCAAACCAGATAGGGGAAGGGAGGCCCTATTTAAAACTGCTCATTCAACATTTTTGTAACCAGGGCTAAATCTATATAATTTATATATACGTATATAGATGGACATGAAGGGTATATGCTACACTTACAAGTAACATAGCCAAATTATTATAGTGATTTTCTAAGCGCTGCTTAGATATGGCACCAGGCTGAAAGTATGGAGCACCTAGTGAGGATCGAACTCAAGCTATTCAAATGTAATGTCAATCAACGTCTCCAGATGCCTTGATCTATCCACTATCCTTCTCTTCATCCTTTCCTCTATCACTCCTATTTGCTCTAGCTCCAACGTTCTGTAACCCTTTGCTTGCTAGTGGCTTCCCGCCTTGCTTGGGGTGGAATGCTTAAAAAAAACCCCTACTCAGTCGTAATTGTTCTAGCCAGACAAGCTTGCTAACCATTACACCATGCCGAGGTGCCCTAAACCGAATTATTATATAAATAAGAAAGATATTCAAAAGGAAACTAAAGAAAAACCATTGATGTACCTCTTCACAGTTAGAAAAAAAAACAGAAAAAGGTTTATTCAATAAAAACAGCCTACAACTTCGAAGATAACGTCATTGCGGCATCGGAAGTAACAATATGACTGGATCGGATGGTTGTCGTTTATGTTGGCCGTCATGTTTACGATTGCGGCCTTCAAAGATACCATGATATTCTGGGACCGATGGCTTGTCTGCCGTTCGAAGACACCCCAGACAGAGTTAGGGTTCAACGGATTAAAATCAACATATCTAGATGCAAATATATATGAAAGTGACACGATCATGAACATTTTTGAACAGCTACTCCTGCGTTAATTGTATTATGTGAGAGGAGCAGAGTCCTGTTGGAAGACGCCGGCCAATGGTTTGATCACCGTGTCCAGTAGATCGATGTAAGCGGTGGCAGTGATCCGGAAGACACGCAGGAAGAAATCTAGGTAACATGATATGGGCTTTGTTGTTCATGATACCCGGGACCATCATAAAATTGATGTCCACTACTGTTTGCACCACCGTGGAGTCTCCGTAAAGCTAGCTATCGTTTCTCTTCTTCACTTGGCCGTTTAATAACTTCACTTGTGCGCTGTCTGCAAGTTTCTGTGGCTAAAAGAACGATGTGCTTTTTCATGTTCTTTTGAGTCAGGTTAGAAACTGCCATGTTAATTGTTTCAGTCCATATGAAAGAAAAAAATAAGGTGTGGTGCATGCCGCATAACATTGCGTTAGTTTGTCTTCCACAAAAGCCAGCTGAAGGTATGTTCTCAAATACATGGCAGATTATATATATGCATGGATTATCGCGTTGTGAGCCAACGTATGAGTATTCCATCGACACATTACCGATGAGTCCTTTTCGTGAGAGTAGAAGATTCGTCGAGTGTCGTAAAATGACTTGCACCTGAAAAGCTTTGTTAATTCCCAGTCCCACTCTCTTGTCAAATGCCCGCCATCAACTTTCTGATGCAAACACTATGCCTGAGATATATTTCGTGCAAGGATGCAGGTTATATTTCGGAGTCACCTTTCCATATGTGACCATCAAGTTTTGCCTCCAGGCCGGTTTTGAATTCAGTTTTTTCTTCTCTTATACCAGTTGATATACAAGGCTATAAAACCCAGTCTGTCCTTTTATTTATTCGCAGCTGGGTTTTTTTTGGGCATTGAAGATTTAGATTCATACTCTCTCTAATAATGTAATGGATCCGACTGGAATTCGAACTCGACTCTCCGATTCCTCAATCCGAACCGCTATCCATTACTCCATCGTGCCTCATTGTCACTCACTCACTCACACACACACACACACACACACACACACACACACACACACACACACACATCACATACACACACACACTATATATCTATATATATATTTGTGTATTATATATATATATATTTGTGTATATATATATATATATATATATATATTTGTATATATATATATATATATATATATATATATATATATATATATATATATATAAAAAATGGGCATGTTGTCAGGGTATTTCCATTCAATGTAGATTTGTAATTTAATGCAAAAAATCAATGTACAATTCAGTAAATAATTATTATTTTCCCCTTAGACATTATTTTCTTGTTTTCCAACGCCACTATTCAATAATAACATTTTAGTCAAGGTGTGAGGGATACTGCTATAAGCCACATTTGATAACGAACAATCATTTCTGCTTTCGCTAAAGAT